TATCACTTTTTCAATAGTTTCTTGTTGTGTAACCCTCGTCTAGGGTGACAATTAATAACCCACCTTTTTAACGTGTTTGCCATGAACGTGTGCCTTGTCTGTTATGATTTGTTTTTGTTTTGGTCGCACGCTCGGCAACATACTCAACACTGCTTTATTTGTAAATATTTTAATTTGTTATTTTCATAGTAGATTTTATTCGTGTAGGCATGTTTTTAAGATTAGAATATAGCGTAAAAATTATCGTTTGAAATTGTCTCGCGCAAAGAATAAAGTTAGATCCCGTTTCTTCTCCCGCTGCAAATGAAGGCGAAAAACATTAGCAGCACAACATTCGAGCGCGGTTGCAGGAGAACGATGGTGGTTGTTGTATTGTCAGTGATTGTCAGATAGTACGGAAAAGAAGAAAGGAAAGTTACGAGCCACGGTTGGAAATCGACGCGTTTTTTGCCCCGTCCGTTTTAAGTAAAAACGAGAGTTGGAGTGCCGTTTTCGTGGCGTGTGTCCGCTGGAGGGATAATTCCCAGCATCGTCGCGTGAAAGTGACGTCGTTTCCTTGAAAAGTGCCGTGGTTCGTGAGCTGAAGTGAAGGGTGTCGGATCGCCGCCAAGGGAAGCTAAATTTCGAGGATTTTTCCGCTTCCCGGCTAAACCCCAAGGATCCCCGAACACCCACCGTCCTCACTGCGGTGGCTCAGCCAGTAGAGCCAGTCTCGCCACCGCAGTTAAGAGCCAAGGAGGGACGAAGCAGGCCGAACCGAAGAAGCGTTCGCCTGGGTAGTGCAATGCGGTGACTACCGGGACCATCTACGGCGAGTAGTTGGTCTGGTGATTGAGGAAAACGAGGAGAAATAGGGAAAGGTCAGATTAGTCAATAGACGTCTTAATTTCAAATTTCTTTCTTTTTTTTTGTTCATCAATCCATCCAAATCCGAACGTCTTTGGGGGAAGTACTCTGCTCGTAGCCGCCCCGCCGGGGTAAATCGGCCAGCTATAGGCTGGCAGGTAAGCCGCAACTTACAGTTGGAAATCAACAATCGATTGCTATCAATGTGTAGAAATATTTCTGATCGATTGGAGATAAAATTATTAAAATTGGTCCAAGGGCAGCTGAGTTATTAACGTTCAAAATCTTTCATAAATTCGTTACATGTTCCATTTTGATTAGAGGAATTTCTTACTAAAATTCGAAGTGTTTCTGGTTGATTGACATGGTCAGGTGGTATTTGGTCATTGCGAGAATTTTTATGTACCACTTCAATACTTGACGCATTTAACCACAAACATTTGGTTGATGGGTACATTTTCAAAGAGGTTTGGGGGTGATGTGGCTGGCAGCAAGGCGAGCGAACGTTCGTTGAAAATTAACGCTTAAACAACAATAATTTATGGTGGTCCTGAAAAGAACCGTTTTGTTGTGATGGTAGAGTGATGCTGAGCTATTAGGGTGTTCAACACGGATGAGGCTGGTAAGCTGTTTGATTTTTGGGACAAGGGTTACGCACTTGGCACAGATGGCCAACAGCGGCTCACGACGAGAACACACGAAATCCAGAATTTTACAACTGTAGAATCGGTCCAGAAGAATGATTTGGCTGCTATCAGCATGCTGGTGGAGACAGATTCATACAGGTGAGCTAGCAGTAGCGCAGCAGATAAATCCAACCGAGGTGTGGATTACTTCTTCTTTCTTTTGCTGAGGTCCTCCATCAGTAGGTTGATCGTGACTTCTCCGTCTCGGTTTACACATCGTAAGTATACCGCGGCACCGCACGGTTTATCGTTTGCATCGCTGAATCACAGCGTCTAACTCACAAACATTGGTTCTGAACTCCAACCATTGTGACTGAAGCTCATCACTTAGTGGTTCATCCCAGGAGTACTTCGCCTTCCAAAGCTCTTGAGGAAATATTTTTCCTTGGAATACCACCGGACCAACTAGTCTGTAGGGGTCGAAAAGACGTGCTATCTCGGATAGAACAACACGATGCGTGATTGGCCCACCTGGCTTCCAATACGTAGCCGTCTCTAATGTGAGACCTAAAGTCTTCACAGTTGCCTTCTCATCTAAATTCAGGAATTCTCGATCGTCCCGCAGTATTGCCAAGGTATTGCCTTCAAAAACTTCGAATTGTTGGAGTTCCACTTCCTGAGGTTGAAACCTGACCCCTTCAGAAGCTCCAGTACCTCCTTACTGAGCTGTTCGCCTTCTTCAACGGTATGAGAGTCGACCACCACCACCACTGAAGCTACGGGATAACGCTCTGCTCCCTCCTCAGCACACTTGTTCAGACAACGAGTGGCAAGATAAGGTGCAGATGATGTACCGCACGTCACAGTGGATGGCTTGTACGTCCGCAATGGCTCCTGAACCAAACCTCTCCAAAATATCTTGTGCAGCAGCTGATTCAGTTCGTGCTGCCATACCACCCGGTACATTTTTACACAACAGCATACTTGAACAACCGAAATCGTAAAAGGATGCTTCGTAGGTCGTCTTGAACGACAGGTCCCACCATCAAGACGTCATTGAGGGACACACCGGAATCCGTAGAACACGATGCGTCGAAAACTACTTTTAGTTTTGTAGTAGGGCTGTCTGGTTTCAGCACTGCATGACGCGGCAGGTAATATTCCGGACCAGATTCCTCATCGTCGTTTACTACCACCGTCATATGACCTATGGAAAGGTCCTCGTGCATGAAATTCGAATACAATGCCTTCATTTCCGGGTTGGCATTCAGCCGTTTCTTCATGGAAAGATATCGTTTCTATCGCCTTAGACCCTCCCAGTTTTTCCAGCATATGCTTCCTTTTCGGCAGCGTGACCCGAAATTTTCCATCAGGATCTCTTGTGGTTGTCTCGTCAAAGATGGCTTCACAGGCAGACTCCTCGATGGACAAGCAGCTCATCGTTCGACAGGATTCTAAATCCCAGAACTTAGTTAGCTCCGTAACTACCGACGACGAAGCTACCGTACTGTAGCTAACAACAGAGGTTTCAGGTAATTCTCCAGCGACAATCCATCCTAGCTTGGCGTGGTGTAGAATCGGACCCGAATTGGAGAGTTTCAACTGTGCACTTAGCAGCAGCTCGTAGAAAACAGCTACACCAAAATCACATCGATAGATCCAGGTTCATTGAAGGCTGGATCTGCTAGACAAATTCCTGGAGGTATATTACACGATGATACCTTTAGAGAAAGGTTTTCGGTCATCAGACTAATCTGAGACCCGTTGTCCAACAAAGCCCGTGACGATCACCGAGCTTCACGATAGCGGTTGATAACAATGCATTGTGATGGTGTTTTTTGGATGGTATAGCAGTGTGGTGTACTGTTGGAGTATTGGTGGGAGGTGACAAGCATGCATTTTGCGAAGATGTACTTGGAGTTGGTGTAGACTGTGGGTGTTGAGAACTGTTTCGGTTTTGAGCCTGATTTGATTGCTGTGACGGAAAGTTTGCGTATTGAGGTCTTCGGGGAAGAAGGCTGATTCGATGTCTGCCCCTTACTTGCGAATGCGGTGTACGGATGAAGGAGGTAGTGGTGGCTGTGTCCACACTTATTGCACGTAGACCTCGAACAATCCGCAACGAAATGACCGGAACGCAAGCAATTCAGGCACAATCCGAGCTTTCAAGCAAGCATCTTCCTATCGACGACCTTCATATACCCGAAATGTCTACACTGCTCCACGGAATGTGGTCCAGCATTGCAGATTGGGCAATCCTCATTTGACGATATCACAGCGTGAACTACTGGGTTCTTGTATGACTTCCTGCACTCGTTGCTTCTTCGCGCTGACGTTGACTGCAGGATTCCACAGTAATTCTTCAGAAAATTCTCCATTGCCTTGTAGGAGGGAATATTCTACGAGCTGTGGTGGGTTTCCCACTGGCGAAGCGTACCATCATCCAGTTTTCGGGGATAGCATGAAAGCTAACAGCGTACTCAAGTTTTCCGAATTTTCACACAAGCTTCTCCAACTGTTGGAGGTTGGTCCTGAACGTCGTTAGAACATGGTTCAATCCTTAAAAGCTCTCCAATTTCATTGGCGCAACAGCGAACAATGCCTTAAGATGTTCTCATGCGATGAGCTTGTGGTTGTCGAACTTCGACTCCAGAATTCCCCAAGCGAGAGTGTAGTTGGCAGCAGTCACTTGAATTTGGTTGATCTGCAAAAGAGCATCATCCTTCAACGAGGTACGTAGATAATTGAATTTATCGATTGTACAGAGTTGATGGCTGTCGTGTATCAACGACTTGAAGTTGTCCCGAAAGTTGATCCACTCTGACAGCTTTCCCGAGAACGTGGGTAGCCTCAGCTCCGGATACTTCTTCCGCGATGGCTGGCAGATCTGGGCGCCATATCTACGCTACATTTCGAAAGAAGTGCCTGCTTCAATCGAAAGTATTTATTTGCAAACTCCTTGAAAATTTCTTCTGTGGCGCGCCTCAGCCATATATAGAGGGATGCTTGGATTAGAATAAAACTTTGGATTTCTAGAATTTGAACTTAAATGACCATCCCCTCCCAATTTGGTTCAAATCGGAAGAGATCAATTTCATGTGTACACTTGGTGTGGAATGACCCATATGCTACTTTCAATCGTTAGTGGATTAGTGTTTGGCAATTTGCTTAGAATTCAAAATGAAACATTGTTAAGGATTTTCTTTAATAAAGAAAGATAAGATAAGATCGATTTTTGTTCTTCCTGTCATGGGGCGAAATAATTATTGGCGCTATGAGTCCAATAAGGTACAGCCTTATGTATCATTTTATTATTTGCTGGTTATTCTCTTTTTCAGACCAGCTAATGTTCTTCGCAAGTGTTGAGGAAAAATTTTCCGAAATCCGGCCTACTATTGTAATTGACATAACATTTTACGGTTGAATTTTTACATTCAATGGAACGAAACGAGATGATTGGACATGGTCAAATGAACACTTAAAACATAAACCAAAAACAATCGAAAAAATCAAAACCGCTCTACTTACGACTGAAGTTCAGATTGATCGAGGCGGACACCTCGCCCATCCGATTTTTGGCCTTGACCTTGTACAGCCCGGCGTCGGTATCGATGACGTCGTCCAGCTCCAGCACCACGAAGTACTTGTTCTCGCCGAACGACTGGATCTTGAACTTGGTGCGGGCATTCTGTGACAGTAGTTCCTCGCTTCGGTACCACTCGATAGCCGGTTTCGGCTTCGCAATCAACTGGCACTCGAACACTAACCGATTGCCATCGTCCTCCTGGCGCAGCTGGGGCTTCTGGGTGAAGCTCGGGGCGAAGTCATGGTCCGCCATGATTCACGCAAGAAATTCACTGAAAATTCTCACACTCTGAATTCCGGATTTCACTTACGACACTAAACGAATCGCGGTAGTTCGAACATTTAAACTGTTTTCCGGTGATTTTCCCGCGCCTGGGACTGGTTTTCTTCTTCTTTTTTTTCTATGGCTTCACGTTCACTTTTGCTTCACTTCAAGATTTGGGGCTTTTCCACGGAACTTTTTTCTTCGATTTGCTTCCGCCTTGTTATATCTACCTATGTATATTGCTACTCGTTGATTCAAATGCTGCGTTTCCACTCTGCGAAAAGGAAAAGCGAAATTCAAACGATTAATTTATTGCTTCCGGTTTGTTTAACGTATTTCCTGCGTGCTGAAAAAGCACCTTTTCGTTGCTGTTGGGCGGTTGGAAATCGGTGATCCTGGGTGATTTAATGTGAGCGCCAAACACCTAATAAAAATTCAAACTAATAGCGTTCATTTCCCGGAGGTGTCTGCAAAACCATACGAAAGTGATCACTTCTTCCTGCGAACCTCAAAAATAGCAAACTCGCAGTGGAAAGAAAACATACACGCCAGTTTGAATAGTCGTACATCCGGCGATCAATGTTTCCAAATTTGTTTACACTTACACCCACCCAACGAGTGGAATTGGATTGCGGAGCGGGAATGCTACTTAGGAGCAGCGATGAATCTGCTGTCCGAAAATAAACCATTCGGGGTCGATTTTAGCTCACCACAGACAATGCCATACGGGCGAAAATGACGCCAACCATGAAGATGACGATGCAGGCTACGCTCAATGGCCAAGTCGAGTGAGTGATTCGCCAGAAGCTCCCCTGTTAAGTAGCTTATTTTTACTCGGCCAGAATGGGAGGGAGTTAAAAATGTATTCATGTTGCTAAATTTATCCCGCGCGAATGGAACGCATAAATTTTTCGCCACAGAATAAAGGTGGGCAGCTAAGAATAGCTCGGTGCTCTGCGCGGTGTTAGCGGAAGCCTTAAAATAAACCACCCGACTCGGATCTGCGAGCGACTCCAAGGGCGCAAGCGTCAATCTGGTCTGGTTCTAATTAACCTTCATTTCAACGACGAATCTAATGAACCGGTGAGAGAGCGGAGGGGGGAGATAATTGAAAACGACAGCGACTTCGGCGGTGCCGGTAAATTCGGTAGGGCGATTTTGTGAATGAAGTACACGGTCTGTACAGTTCTACGTTTGGCGGTACGTGAAATTGTCACGTGAGGGAAAACTAGGTGAGCTGGCAGCTGGTGACGGGATGCAACAGGACATGTGGTGGCGTAATTTTTTTTGTAAGTGAGTAAGCAGGGTGACGAAACGAGTCACATGACGATTTGTGATTCAAGATTTTCAGAGGAAAATTGCCAGCTTTTTCGGTTTGTTCTTTCACTCAATGATGCGGATTTACATTTGAAGCCCTTTAGTAATACCACAGACAAACAGACGTAACACTTCATTGTGTATCTTCGTTCACGCATTTAACGGTTGATTTGAATATTATCAGTTCCGAGAACTACTCGCCGCAGCGCTGGCATCGGATCACTTTGACGTTTCTATACATTCTATAGAACTTTTATGCAATATTGTTTGCGAGTTAGCGAGCAATCTTGTTTTCCGCGAGAAGCCAGAGAGATGTCGTTACTGAGGTCTTATGTTTTGAGATACTATGTTTTCAAGAAAAACTTGTTCAAAGTGTTACGTCTGTTTGTCTGTGGTAATACCAATTCTTGGACTCAATCGGTGTTCAGAACAAGTTCTGGTAGTTTTCAAAGCTACATCTAGGTGTCTTCAGGATCACTTCTATTGGTCTTTATGAAAAGTTGTTGTGGATTTTGGGGCTACTGCTAGTGATCTTTGGGCAATTCAAACCGACCAAAAAAGGCGGAATCATATTAGAACCAACCAACCAAGGACGGTCTACGGAAGGAAATTGCCGGTGAAGCACGGAATGAAATACGAAGCGTTAGAGAAAAAGTCCAAGGGATTCCAAAAGAAGCAAATAACGACGGCGGAAGAGCAGAATATGGTGAGAGCTTTCCATAATCTGCTAGTGATCTTTGGGACCATTTTTAGAGATCCTCTAACCACTTCTAGAGGTCGTATGGGCTTCAAAGCCAGTTCAAATGTTCTTTAGATTCACTTTAGGTGGTCTTTAGGACCACTTCTAATGGTTTTCAGCAGAACTTCTAGTAGTTTGCAGAAACAGATTTACGGATTCTCTGAAACACTACTAAGTGTCCTCTAAATCTCTTATAGAAGTCCTATGAATCACTTCTAAGGGCTTCAGCACCGTTTCATTTTACGCCGACTACGAAGCCTCCGAAAAACGTGAAACGGCAAGTTTGCAATGACATAGCTTAGCCATTTCTAGATGAATTTCAAAAATTGTAGTACGTCTAGAATTCCTAGGGTCTATAATTTTGTTTTAATGGACAACAGATTGAAAATAGGGTCGCCTACATTTAACATAGCAAAAAGAGTCATTACAAGTTTTTTTAAAAGTTTGCTTATGGTTTTTGCAAGTGGCTTAAGATCAATAATTTAAACTAATGGACACAAATGTTCATAATTAGCAAGAATACTGTCATGGTTCCAATATATGGATCCTGGATACAACGGAACGGTCCTCCGGAACAACCGTAAACATGGTCAATCCACGAAACTGATCCTAGAGCTCCGTGTTTTTTTTTTCGAAAACATTAGAAATTGTGGTATAAGAAAGAATTTGGATCGTGACATAAACATGAACCTGGATGGCCATGGGACCGTCCTCCGGAAGATCCGGAACGTTCGTAAAAGTGGTCAATTCATGAAACTGATCCTAGAGCTCTGCGATTTTTCGAAAATACTTGACACTGTCATATATAAACTAATTGAGGGTTGTAACATAAACATGTACCTAGAAAGCCATCGGACCTCCGGAAGATCTGGAACATCCTAAAAAATGGTCAATCCACAAAACTGATCCTAGAGCTCCACGGTTTTTTTTTTTTTTTCAAAAACACGAGGAACTGTGTTATAAGAAATAATTTAGGGTCGTAACATAAGCATGGACCTGAATGACCATGGGACCGTTCTCCGGAAGATCCGTAAAAGTGGTCCAGCCATGATACTGATTCTAGAGCTCCGCGGAATTTGTTTTTTTTTTTAACATTTCAAACTGAGATATATGAATGAATTTGGGGTCGTGACATAACCATGGACTTGGATGGCCATTGGATGGAAGATCCGGAAGATCCGTTAAAGTAGTTCATCCATGAAACTGTGAAAAAAACGCGTTTTTTCGAAAACTCTTGGAACTGTAATATAAGATAGAATTTAGGGTCGTGACATAAACATGAACTCGGATGGCCATTGGACTTCTTACAGATCCGGAACAGCCATTAATTGGTAAATCTGTGAAACTGATCCTTGAGCTCTGCAGTTCATTTTTAAATACTTTGAACTGTGATATAAGAAAGAATGTTTGGTCATGGCTGTTTAGTTTCCCAGAGAATACGAAATTTTATATATCTCCTAAATTTCAGGTATTATAGTTTGGGAAGGAATCAAAATTTAATTTACAGCTGATGGATATGAAAGTAAATAATTGATAGTTCCGTTAAAGTACGGCACCTTGACAATTGTATATAGAAAGTAAAAAGTGAGCGAAGGACAATTTTGAGGAATATACGAATCGGATCGAGCATTCCCTTTACCAAACTCATCCGTTGATGAGGGGCTGCGAGGAGTGTTTCCCCTCGCCACCACTGGCAAAAGGAACGATCGCCGATTAGCTCATGTACCTCCGATGTGCGGAAACGATTCTATCGATTGTTACACACTCAAGCCGCCATCTGACGTAAGCATATAGTCGATGGTTTTTAGTGGTTAGATGGTTTTAGTGTGTAACAATCGTTAGAACCGTTTCCGCACATCGGAGGTACATGAGCAAATCAGTGATCCCTTCTTTTTCCAGTGGTGGCGAGGGGAAACACCACTCACAGCCAGCGAATCTAAACACATAAAGCAACCAACGATACAGACAAAACGGTTGCTACGACTACCATGACAAACTCGCTCTGTAACATAGCTCGATCCGAGTGGTAAAAGGATAATGATATATTGCTTGCCTGCTTTGTTGCAATATACACGGATGAGGACATAGCTTGATATGAATCGAGAAAAGACATAACAAAAAAATCCCATTAACACACGTGTATCATCTTCGGCTTTACTTCGTGAAGCAGTTTGCCAACAATTTGCTCGTTTCCTTCAACCGCCCTGAGTGAGTTGTGCGGCACGGGCTGCTTGTCATGAAAAAGAACCAAGAAGATTATATTATTATTGCTTTCCACTTCTGACATAGCGTTATTATTCGGTTCGTTGATCGCTTGTCATTTTGTCATTTGGCCCCTCATTATCGGATGAGTTTGGTAAAAGGAATGCTCGATCCGATTCTTACGTTCCTCAAAATTGTCCTTTGCTCGCTTTCTACTGTCTATATACAATGTTCACACCGCCGTACCATAACGGAACTTTGAATTCTATACTTTCATCTCATCATTTATCGTATAAAATATTCATTTTAAGTCTGATATAAACGTTAAGCATCTCCAACTATGTAAATCTTTAACTTCACGCATGAAGTAATAAAAACATGATTAGTCAAAATCTGATATTATGACCCTTCAGCGCTCATAGTCACCCATAGGTGACACCTGTTTTGTTATGCCTATCAAAAAAATCCAATTCTGAACCAAATTTGATGAAACTAGCTACAAATGGAAGCTATACTAATCTTCTTTGATTGGCTCTGACGTGGTCCAGATTGAATCCAAGTGGCCACCGGGAATCTGTTACAAGCAAAGAAAAGTCCTTTTCTTTCTTTAACTGTAACAGGAAAGCCAAATAACTTAGTGATCCTAGTTGAACCTCATTTGCATTGTCGTTCGAAGTGCTTGGCATTTCTCATACAAACTTTCCAAAAGGGTAATATTTTCGTGAAACCGTGTGGCTGGGCATGACAAAAATTAATAAAATAACTGCAAAGAACTAGGATAAATGACGCCATCGACAAAACCTTATTCTATTATCGTCCGGGGGGTAAACAACATCATTAAGAGTTCAATTTTGGCATGTGGATACATTGTCTTTCAAAGCACCTATTGGCCAAATTTGAGTGCTCCGGGACTTTGCTTACGGGGGGTGACGATAATAGGCTAAGGTATGGCCGAAGCCGACATTTCCCCTACTTATACTGGACGTACAAAGTATGAAAAAATCCAAAATGGCTGA